CTTTGATTTACATGTATTAAGATATCGTCTTCTGACAAATCGGGACATTGTACGATCATGCGCAGAACATGTGGCGTTCAGTGGGTTCGGGAGGTAATTGACATAAATTGAGCAAAGAGTAAACACGAGTGTAAACTCGAGTATAAAACTAGCAGGACTTCAAAGTGCCGAGAAATGTACATACGTGACCCCCTTTGTAGATTTGTGTGTGGTCGAACCGGTGGTAATGATGATGTTTCTTTTTTTTCAACTGTCAAATTTGTATTCGTGTTGTTTTTTAAATATATCGTGATTTGTTTTGTTTTCCAATAAGATTCAAGATTTCTCGGTGTATTAGTTGTTGATTTTTCATGAACAAAAACCCGACCCGAGTACCAAGTATCAACATAATCTGGCAAATTAACATATACACTTTTCTCCCTTAAAATGTTTTTTTTTTCTTTCATTTAGTCTTTTTCCATGTTTCATCATTGATTTACTGTATATTGTTTTTTTATCTATTATTATTACATGTATTACCAGTTTTTTAATTGTAGTTTGTTTTTTTGTTTTGTTTTTAATTCATTGTCGTGCTTTAGATAGTATTTTTTGTAAAATTTGTATGTTTTAAATATGTGTTTTAGCAGTTCCTTCTGAAGAATTTTAAGTGTTTCAATAAACTAAACCATGGTCGCCACGTAGCGCTCGAATGTAATCAAACAAACAATGCATTTACACGTCTTGTTTATGTTGCATGGAACTCGTATGAAACACGACGTGAAGCGTCAATAAACTTTGAGAATTTACAATAGTGTGTTTAATGCACCGGCTTACTCGGCTCAGCCTCGAAGAAGTTAAAATTGAATTCGAAAAGATCGTCAATTTCTCTTAGATTTCCCATGTGTTTCTTTTTTATTTCGTTGGCGTGGAGATTGACGAGTAATTACGTTAGAATCGAAGGGAGCAAGAGAGAACTGTCAATTCACCTCGCGCAAATAATGCAATGTAATTTAAATGGGCGATCAACCTATTCAGCACCTTGGAACACGGACTCGATTTCACAGGGGAATCTCAAGGACTATTGGCGTCAAAACAACTTGAAAAATATTGATCTGTATTTTGGTGCGATAAATTGCACATGTTCTTGGATATCGCCGTTTGACGGTGGAAATATAGCGAAAAAATAAAATTGCAGTTGCCGTCCTCCCGATGGTTGAAATTGAAAATGTGATTTATCGTGCGTTTCAAAAAGCTTTGCGTGGGTGAATGCGTTTTCTTTAGGATTACTAAGGTTGCTTACACAAATACTGTTTTATTGCGATCTTTAAATATAACATGGTGTTCCCAGGATGTCAATTTTATTTCCCTTGTATAATAAGCTGATAAAAAAGTTCGTTGTCAACATAATATGAACCACTGACTTTATTATCAGAACACATTTACGGTCTTGCAAATCGCTATAAAATAATATGGTCATGTGCTCTCAGCCTAGTATGGTTAACAGGGACATAAGGGGAAAAAACTGAGTATGTTCAGGCGTCAGGCAAGCATTCAACGCGCATGCGCAATCACATTTTCCCCCCAATTTATCATGGAGTCTATGATAGAAATAAACTACGGAACATTCACGTGGTAATACGTACGATGTTATAATTTACATTTATTGTATACTGTATTTTAATTATTTCTCTGTCATTGATATAAGTTTAACGCAAAGCAGTGCGGCTTGAATTTTAAAAATGTTACAAACATAACCCGTCTAGGTGTTCTATTCCTTTCCGCGGCTCGACCTACGTATGTAACCATGGTAATTGAAAAAAATGTACGCGATAACGGCGTTCATTTAGGTCAAAGGGCAACAAACAATCGACGTCAGCGTGTGTCACCGTTTACAAAATAATTTTATTCAAAAAAAAAATTCGATATTATAGAAAAACTACACAAAAATGTGCCAAAAATGGGAGGGCAAAATGAAAGTCAAGCCTCGTTGTGAGTTGAAGACTCGGTGACTTTTTTTTTCTTTCCTCACATCAAATACTACTACACCGACTGAAATATTCCCGACTTCCTTCAAGTTGTTCGCTTGGTCGAACAAACTAAACATCCAACTGATTGGTCGAACAAACTAAACATCCAACTGATTGGTTGAACAAACTAAACATCCAACTGATTGGTCGAACAAACTAAACATCCAACTGATTGGTCGAACAAACTAAACATCCAACTGATTGGTCGAACAAACTAAACATCCAACTGATTGGTCGAACAAACTAAACATCTAACTGATTGGCATTCCTCTTTGCTGTACATACACTTGTATTGCTTCTAAATTTGACTTTTCACAAGATAATTCAATTAGTATATTAGTTTTTTTTAATTTTAATTGAGTTATCGGTTGTCATGGTACTGAAATTCAAGCTATGCCCCAATACCCACTGTGACCTGGTATGACTCTGAGAACGTTAGACGTAGTACATCAAATTATATTTGTTCCCAGGTTTCACAGATGTTTACATATATTTGAATACTAATAATAAGATGCGATCATAATTAATACGTGAAACAAAATGCGAAAGATTACTATCGATCTCGGAGTTGTTGTTTTGTTTTTTTCCAAACAGCGTTGCAAGTAACTCAATCGTTAGTGGTTGTTTTAGTTCGATATTGTGCGACTATTATAGATTATAAATTACTGTATCGTGAAAAATAACACACCCCATCCAGATTGTGTGCCATGACTGGTCAATACGTGGTCAAATTGGGTTATATAAAATTTTGCTATCACTCACACTGATTCCTAAAGTGACCGTGACGTCACGACGGCCTTGCATACACATACCGAAAGCGAATCACGTTTCCTACCTTTGGCTGGCAGAGAATAACGGATCCGGAATGGGAACCTGTCAAATATATGTTTTAAATCCTTTAACTATAAACTACTACATCAAATTTGGCACTCCCATGGGAGGCATACAGTGCGTACTAAGTCGAACCAAAAGTGTTTGTGTGTTTCTACGCAGCGTCTACGCTGAAATACCGGCGGAATACGGGCAACAATTATTATTATGAATTGAATTATTATGAATTATTATAAAATATATAAATGAATTCTAAATAGTGTGTAATAATGGTCTTGAATGGCCTTATTCGGGCAGT